TTGCTCCGTCAAAGAGGGCAGTGGCACAGGCCAGTGAGATAGCTATGAGTTAGAAAGGGTTTGGGTGATATGGCTTTGTTGTTTGTGCTTGGTGTCAGTGGAGCTCAGGGTGGATAAGGCAGGGGTCATCCCACAGCCCATTTCAGTACAAATGGGCAGCTTAAGGCCTGGCTTGTAGGCTGTGGGGTTGATCTGGTTCTCCAGAGAGGCCCTAGGCAGGCTGTTGACCGCTATCTGTTGACGTGTGTGCAGAGCAGGCTCTAGCAACATGATCACAGTCTTTGCCTTCCTGGTTCTTTCTGTCTCTCAGTTGGTTGCCAGGGCTTGCAGATTGCAGTGAATTTTCTTTGGGGAACATCCCTGTTTTGTCCTAGAGTGAACATGTGGCTTATAGCCAGTTGATAGTTGGTGGTCTGCCTTCCTTTTAATGGTGTTTCTTTCTCAGAGCAGAAGGGCTGCATTTTGCTTATCAGGAGAAGGTACAGATTTAAGGGAATTTGTATGAGGTGGCATGTAATTGGCAAGCAGGTTCCAGGTTCTAGGCAGGCTTTTGGTAGCCCCCTCCCATGTCTGCCCTTCACCTCTCTGGATTTTGCATACAGCTAGTACAGTGCAAACAAGGATGTGACTTGCTCAGCTCAGTCATGTGATTTCTAAACAAAAAGAAAAACACAAAACGATGATCTTCTACTCAGGGTAAAACAAAACAAAAAATTCCCCTTCCACCAAAAAGCCTGAAATGTTGCAATAAGTTATCTCATTTGAAATGTTTCATTAAGTTGTGTTAAAGGAAAAAAATTGTGTGTGTGTGTGTGTGTGTGTGTGTGTGCATGTGTACAGAATTATACCCATCTGTCTGCCTTTGGCTCCAAGTCATTGCCTCTTAAAATAAAACATAAAATACCATCCACACTAGAATGGAAAGTTTCTGTCAACTGGCTTTATTAATGTAATCATGAGTGCTCACCAAACTCACCAAGCTCAGAAGCCAGGCAAACCCTAAGGTGTAGGACTGTGCCTCCCAAGGACCCCTTCCCTGCCTCGGGCAAGGAGCAGTGTTCCACAAACAAGGCTGCTCTTCCAAGTCAACAACATCAGGCAGAAAGCAGCCATAATTTTGCCTTCCATTTCTACTTGCTAGTGTAAAGAGGTCTGCATCGGTCACTCTGCTGTTCTCTGAGCCATTGCTCAGGGCCAACCATGGCAGTGTCCAAAGCAGACAATTTGCCCGGGAGCCAGAGGCCCTGCCTTTAGCCAGGATGTTCAGGGCAGACTTGGATGAGAGGGCAGTGGTGGTAAATGTTGTTACTGCCATTAAAATGGCTTAAATACAAGCAGCTGATTTCTCATGCCAGGAATCTAGGCAGGAGAACCAATTTCTTTCTAACATTCTGCACTCCCCTCCCCAAAAGGTTGGTCGGTTATGGTGACCACTGATCTCAGCAGAAGTTGATAAGGCAGAAGGAACCTTCTATTACCACCAGGGGATTAGTCCTCCTGGAAAACCAACTGTTGAGCATGAATTGTCCTTGGCTGTCTTTGGGCCTTAACACCCAATAGAAAGCTCTGGGGTAGGCCCTTTGCTGTTTAAAACTTCCAAGAGAGTAGTGATGAGACCCCAAAATTAGCTTACATCAGAGAGCAGTAATGACCTTCCAAAAGGCCCATTCCTATGATCACCTGGGATTTGGGTTCCCTGGGAACTGAAGTGGAAAACAGCAGCCCAGGGAAAGACATTTGAAGCACCCGTGGTTTTATCATTCCTTCTTCCTGATCAGCCAGAGCTGTGCTCATATTGGGTCCTACCCAGGTCAGTGGCCTTTCTACTCTCCAAAGACTGGGGGTGAGAAAGAAGCATCTTAAACAGTGTTTAGACTGACAGATTTTTCAGTTGAAGAAGTTGAAGTATCTGCCTTTTGAGGGTGATTTTAGATTACAACAGAGACTATCAGATCCAATCAGCCTTTGAAAAATTAGGAATGTGCTTAAAATGGCAGTGAGTGGTCATGAAGAGCAGGTTTATTCCCAAGGGTCTTTCCTTCCCTCCTCTTCCAGTGCTCTTTCCCTCCCCATCTTTCTGTAAGCCTGGCCTCTGGCGCCAAGGACCTTGGAGAAGAGAGGGCCCCTAGCTAAACTGGAGCCAGACGGAAGCTTCATGGAGAGTGGTTTCCCAAGCCTGGGAATGAACCCAGGGTAGGTTAAGAGGGTCTGTAGAATTCTAGCAGGTGAAATCAAGCCTTTTTTTCTTCCCATGGTAAACCTAACCATTTTCACCTTATAGATTTACCATTTTCACCTTATAGATTTATACTTGTAGCATTTCCAATTAGACTGCCCCTTTTTAAAGGGTGCTCAGCACCAGGGATTAGAGTTCATGGGTTTAGGGCTCAGCACCAGGGCTTAGAGTTCATGGGTTTAGGAGGTGGTAAGGAAATGTTGGTTGGCACCACCAAACTGCCTTAGTGAATTTGGCCATTCCCAGGCAGGTAGGTAGAGCATTGAGGGAAAGTGGCCCAGTTTTTCCTGGCAGGGTCTGGCCAGTCTTATGGGGAAAAGAAGAGTTATTTATTGAATTCCACCTCCTTTTAGAGGGAGCTCATGGTACAGAGCCCAGGAGGGGCCTTAAGATGTGAAGACCTCCCTGGGTAGAAAAAGGGCCTTCTCTTCACCATGTCTGGGAGAGTCGGTAGATGGGAGAGTTTTATTTTCAGGGTCAAAGCTGTGGACCGATGGGGATAACGGAGGGTGGGTGGGTTTTCCTGAGAGACTTTGTATAATGCTGAATGTGTCCAGAGGGACAAGTTTGCAGAACCTCATATTGGTATATTAAAGAAATAATAAAATAAAAAGCACTTTAGGTTATTTTATCTTTAACCAATTGCTGCAATTTCTTTTGTGTGTGTGTGTATATATATATATATATGTATATATATATATATATATACACATACATATATATATACTTTCCACAAAGTTTTATTTTTTGCTCAGAATAAAAAGTTAAATCGAGGTGTGAAAAGAAAAGCACTTACCTTGGTGCAATATGTGTAGCTTGACAGTCGTTGTCCCATGTGGCCCTGCCCTGGCCGCGTTTTTCCGCTGGATCAGCCCTGCTAGGAGGCTGTCCATAGGGAAACACTATTATGCATTCTCAGCAACTGCTCAATCTATGCAAGCCTTCCCTGTGTGCCCCAGGGTGCCCCCTCAGGCTCTCTGAAGAACTGCTGTGGGTCCTGTTTTCTTCTGACTGTTGAGGCCTTTTCATCACTTCTTGGTCTCTTGCCATCTTTCCCCTCTTCACCATTACAAAGTGATGCCTGAAAGGAAGGAACAGGTTGTTCCTAGGTAGAAACCTGGCACCTTGTAGACTTTGCTATTTGTAATCACGTCCATTGTCCTTAATCTTAAAGACTTCTCCAGAGTCACTGAAACCATTGATTTGTGGAATAGCAACAATATCACTCAAGAGTTTACAGTTGTCTTTCACCACCAATCAGAAATATGTTTGGGGAGGCAATAGAGGGGGGCAACATGAGCCATTCCATACTGTTCCCTGAACTACATATGCTGGTTCCTCAAGCAAAAAGGCCTCCAGCCTTTGTTGATTCCAGTGAACAAAGCTGTTAATAATCTGCTTTATCAACGTTCTTCCTTTTCCTCTACCTCCCCACATTTATCTTCAATTATCAGGCTATAAAACAGAGAAGTTTTAAATTACACTTCAACCAAAGCAGAAGGATTTTCATAGATTCAGTATGCAAATGGTTCTGCTGCAACAGATTGGAAATTGTCCATTCCTTAATATTTGGGGATGAGGACAATAAAACTCAATTATGCATATTTCTGATTGGTTAGTCATTTTAGTCTGTTTCCTTTTGCATATTTTTGGAGGAGAGAGGGAAGGAGTCCCTCTCTCATGCCCTTAGGGGGAAGCTGATGACCAGTCTGGGCATTTCTCACTGTTATTCCTGTTCAAGAGAGGGCTTCTCAGTCTGCACTGAAAAATGCAAATTAAACTGGATCTTTATGTCAATGTGTACATAGTACAAGCTTTTTTACTGGAAGTGAGGTTTAAAACCACACACTACCCTTTTGGTGGTGTGCCTGCTGGGCCAAAAATTGGGTGATAATGTAGTGTCAGTTTCTCAGCTCAATGCAGTTTCTACTTTTTCTTATGGGAAATTTTTTCATAAAACCTTTTTGCACCAAACCCAGGGGTGTTTTTTGCAATATCCTTGTTATCCTTGTAGTGGTGCCAAGTCAGAGGCTTCTCTTGCCCTTTTCCTCCTGTGTTCTCAGGCCTCTCAAGGGCTGTTTGACTTAACAGTCTACATTGTTGTTTTGGAGAATGTGGGGGTGGGGATCAGAGTTCAAGGTGTCTGTTCCCCTTTCCTGTGAACTCCTCCTAGTCCCTGTTTGGGGGAAGGTGGCTGGAAACGGGTTTTTTGCTGAATCTCTGGCTCAGATCTTCTAGCCAGGAAAGACAAGAGCTCCCAAGAGCTCTCTTTTTTGACACACACTAATCGTTGGCCGGGGTCTTGGTGACAGTTTTTAAAATCCCAAATAGTTTTATCTGGATTATGTAAAAGTCTATCAAATTTAAGTGTGAAACATGGGAACAACGGACTTCCACTGAGCGATATGAAAACATTACAGGTTCAGTACTTCCAAAGGAAGAAACCTCAAACCCAAAAAAGAATAAATATGAATTTGTATTTTTGAAGAATGTGAAATAATGGTGTTTGCTTAATTGCTCATTTTGTATAAACTTAATATTGTACTTTAAAATATCTGCTAAGAAGTGAAAATTTAACTTTTTGGAATTGAAAAAAGCAATATTAAATACTAATGAAATCCTAATTAAATGCTTATTTAAATCTGGTAGTATCTGTGGCATTTCTTCCCAACCCTGCCCATGCTTGACATTTCTCCACCACTCCCCCCTGCCCAGCCATTAGAATCTTGGAGAGGGGACAAAAAAGGAAAAGGTCAGCCACCAGGAGAGTCTGCAGGTTTCCTTTTAATCAAGGCTCTGCTGAAGGTGTTTAGTGGGGCTGAGAGCTCCCAAAGCATGAAATGGACATGTAACACCACCTGGATCCCCCTTAGCAGGCTAGATCACTCTGGCGAGCACTGCTGATCTGCCCAAATCCGGGTAATCAAACTGGATATTTGTTGGCTACATTTCAAAGCACAGCACTGCTTTCGGCCTGGATGGGAGTGAACCCAGCTGCTAGCAGAGCTGCCACCCAGGCTGACAGCCAAGTACCAGCCACTGCCAGTGAAGACTGGCCCCTTTATTGAAGGGAGTTGCTCAGAGTCCAGCCACCAGCCCCGGGGAGGGAGAGAAGTCAGGGCGTCCGGCTCGGGGATGGTCAGGGCTCCGCAGCTCCATCGCCAGCATCCTTCGGAAATCCACCTCTGGCGGAGACAGCTGGCTGAGGGGGCGCTCCGGGTTTGGCTGAGGCGTTCTAGTTGGAACAGAAAGGAAAAATGTGAGGCTAGGAGGAAAGGCCTTGGATTAGGCCCCAAAAGGATATGGCCACTTGACGTTTGGCTAGTATTAACTTTGTCAAAACCTCTCGTCAGATCAAAGGAGGCTATGGATAAAGCGGTGGGAAGACGCTTCCCCCTCCAAGGGAAGCTAGGGCTTGGCCAGCCTAGACAGTGGGCAGATCCCACCTCCCAGGCCCAGCCCGGGGTGGGCACTGACCCCGCCACCGGCCGGCTCCGGGCGCCGGCGGCCCAGTTGCCGCAGCATCTCCTCACAGGCGGCGATGGTGTCCAGGAGCTGCCGCTGTCGCTGCTCCACCGCGTCCAGCAGCTGCTGGGCGCGCTCATCCCGGGGCGGCTGCGGGGGTGGCCTCCCGCCGAGCCCCAGCCCCGCCTTCCCGCGGTCCACGCCGGCAGCCTCCCTGCCCGGGAGAGAGCGAGAGACGGACGGTCAGGGCCGGCGCCCGC